GTACTTTAAACTACCCTAGGGAGAGGTGTTTCAAATACATACATGGGCTATAAACTATGTACCCTAAGACACCCCCCCCCCCCAACAGTATAGTCGGAAGGAATTGTGTGTGCGTTTAAACTAAAACTGAAGTAAACAAAAAAAAATTGTATATGGTAGATTTGTAATGAACATGTCCAAATATTAAGATGAGGATAGAACGTGAAGAGCACGAATGGAGCCTGTAATACATACATGGGCTATAAACTATGTACCCTAAGACCCCCCCCCCCAACAGTATAGTCGGAAGAAATTGTGTGTGCGTTTAAACTAAAAAAAATGTATATGTTAGATTTGTAATGAACATGTCCAAATATTAAGATGAGGATGGAACGTGAAGAGCACGAATGGAGCCTGTAACAATCTAATTACAAACAAAGTTTATGTCTATCTCTATGTGTTTGGTGTGTTGGTGTTGGACTGTATTTGAAGACAGATTGCACTGATTCTCTCTAATAAATGAAAATAATTTTGTCACATGTCACTCTCTCATGCATTATGTCACATGTCATTTTCTCATAATTTTAATATATTTATTTTCCACTTGTCATTTATTTCATTTTTCATTTTTCAATATATCATTAATTTAGTTTCCATAAATTAAACATACCATAATGATTATATTAATTTCAAATTTCAAACTTCAATTTCAATTTTAAATAAGTTTATAGTTTAAACATTTGTACTTAGGGATAATGACTTGAAAGGGTAACGAACTTTCGACTTTGTTCACATTTAGTCACTAAACTTTTTTTTCGTTATCTATTTGCCATTGAACTATTGAAATTGTTCACATTTTACCCTTATGACCGGCTGTTACCGGTCATAAGGATAAAATGTGAACAGTTTCAATAGTTTAGTGGCAAATAGATAACGAAAAAAAGTTTAGTGACTAAATGTGAACAAAATCGAAAGTTCGTTTCCCTCTAAAAAGTTCAATGACTAAATGTGAACAAACTTCCTCTTGTGTTATGTTTTAGCAAATTATTTATTTTTGTTAAATTGTAGCAACATTTGTTGATGAAGAAATCTATGAAATAAAAAAACAAAACCCTTAAAATATATTTAAAAGAAAAAACAAAAAACCGAAACCGAAATAAAAAACCAATGGTTTGACATTTTCCAAAATAAAAAATCAAAATTTCCAATCTGATTTTGGTTTTACAAAAAAATGAATCATTCTCACTGATGTGAATTATGACCATTGGTTTGGCATGCGAAATTAAAGAACACGGTGATTTGGGTGTTTAAGAGATGCATTCGATTATGAAAGGTGTTTACAAAAAATGATCTAAATCTAAATCTACATAATTAACACACACTAACACTCCAATGTTACATCTCTCAAACACACCTCTACATGTGGTATGAACTCACCTTATATAGAGGTGTTTACATGTATCTCTCTGTATCTCTCATGTCATAAAGGGGGAGTTTTGGATAGAAAATTCTGAATTGAGCGCTTTCTCATTCCCTTTTTGGTTTTATAATCATTTGTCGATTATAAAAAGGGTGAGGGATTTAGATATGGAAATCCGAAAGTTGAATTTTTGTAAAACCAAAATCAGATTGGAAAATTGTGATTTTTTATTTTGGAAAATACCAAACCATTGGTTTTTATTTCGGTTTCGGTTTTTCGTTTTTTTTAATATATTTTTCGGGGTTTTGTTTTTTTTATTTCATAGATTTCTTCATCAACAAATGTTGCTACAATTTAACAAAAATAAATAATTTGCTAAAACATAATACAAGAGGAAGTTTGTTCACATTTAGTCATTGAATTTTTTAGAGGGAAACAAACTTTCGATTTTGCTCACATTTAGTCACTAAACTTTTTTTCGTTATCTATTTGCCACTAAACTATTGAAACTGTTCACATTTTACCCTTATGACCGGTAACAGCCGGTCATAAGGGTAAAATGTGAACAGTTTCAATAGTTTAGTGGCAAATAGATAACGAAAAAAAGTTTAGTGACTAAATGTGAACAAAGTCGAAAGTTCGTTACCCTTTCAAGTCATTATCCCTTGTACTTAATATTTTGTTATAATTAACACGTTTAATACACATGTCTGACAACTAAACATATAATTTTAATTTTTTTTGCATGTTTTTTTTCATAATTTTTACTTATTTCAAATTTCAAATTCAACTAAATTTCCCGTTTAATCATTCGTATTTAACATTTTGTTGTAATCGACTTGTATAATATACGGGTGTCACAACTAGTATCACAATAGACAATGGTTGCCTTGGGAGGTGGACAACAGAGTTCGCGAAGAAGATTTTGTATCCAATAGGTTCTGAAAACCGTATTAGCTTTTTTTGGAACGACAAACAATTTGCTCCTAAATTACCACTTATGTCTCCAACGAGACATAAAATCGTGACCTCTCAAATGAGAGACACACTCATTACCGTTAGACCAATGGCCCTTTGATGACGACCGTATTAGCTATCAATATATTCATCCTCTTCATTGGAATGGGAAATAACCCTTTTGTCATTTAGACGAGCAAAAGACAAGGTTATCTCCACGGAATACAGTACCCTGGAGTGGAACAACAAGTGGCAAAACACCTACCCCAATTTGCGTATGAGTATGCAGTGAGAGTGGAACTAGGAGAGCCATGTAGTCGAAGACCATGATCAAGAGTCCCTCAAATGTATCTCAAGATCCATTTGAGAGCAAGCATATGTGGCTCTCGAGGATCGTATATGTACAAACAAATATGTTGAACAAATGAAATGTGTGGATGGGTGAATACAAGGTACTAAAGAGCTCCTAGTAGGCTACAGTAAAAAGGGGGTCATGTTCCAATTCACACTCAGTATTAGAAAATAAATAATTATTTTGATCCATATATGATTCATCAAATATATATAATATTGTTGGTAAACTAAAGATATGATTTTTTTAGTATAGTATCCGATACATTTTTCAAATTAAATAATATTATTTCAGAAGAATAAACACCAAAATCCAAACTCAAACAAAAGAAAATTTTCTAATATTATGTTTAATCGTCAATTTTTTTTTTTATAATTTTCTAACATTTGAATCAAAATTAATCGCTTAAAATAATATGCAACTATAAAAAGATAAAAAAGAAAAATTGTTTTCAATGCAGATCGAAACATAAAAAATGAAAAATGAAAAACAACCATCGATTCAAGACTCATAATAGTTTTTTTTTATCAGTTAAGTTGAAATCATTATCTGTATGAATTTGATAGTATAATGAAATAGAAGTAAAAAAGAGTTATAATTACCATAAGATTGTGGGTTTATGTTTTTATCAATATTGTGTTTGGTTTGTTAATTTTCAAATAAAAAGAAGCACCAAAGTTCTTAGACATATAGGTATGGGTCACGTTATAACATCATTTTATATGTCTCCTCAACCCTTAATACGACCTTAACATCATATAAGAATTGGTGTTGTTATGTTATAACATGTTAAAAGATAAAGAGAGAAAGAGAAAAATATGAAGAAAAATGATGTGATTGCTAAGGATAGTGGGTGTGGACAACATGTTAAGGGGTGTGATAAAAGTTGTCACCTCACATGTCATATCATATCATGGTGTCATAATACCAAATGAGAAAATAGACAACATGTTATAAGACTCATTAAATTTCATGTCATCAATTTTTTTTATTTTTTTCAAATTAATTTTTAATATTTATAAAAACAAAGTTAATTTAATAAAACATGTTATTTAAATAAAACTAAATTTTTTAATTAAACATAACATTTAAATACTAAAAAAAAAACATTACAAAAAAAAAAACAAATACCATTTAAAAACAAAAACAAAATTACATTTCTGCCCCTAAACTATTCATCTTCGTTAAGTTATTTGTGTTTCCGTGCATCTGGTTAATAGATGAGCTGGATCTGGTTGTAGTAGCACGTTTATACAATATTGGTACATCGTACTTGCGAAAATATTGTCATCATCATCATCATCATCATCGTGCGACACAGGTGGAACGGATCAAATGGATCCATTTTTTTCTGGAAGTATTGAAAGTTTATGAAATAGATAGAAAGAAAATAAAGTGTTGATTAAAAATAAGATGTTAGTTTGTATTTATAGATAAATAAAAAATTTATATTCAATTTGACCGTTCAACAATCGAGTGGAACGAAAAGTCAAAGAAAAAAAGTCGCGTTGCAGCACGTTACAATCACCACGAAACACCACTTAACGGGAAGGGGCGGTGTTCCCCCTGTGGTAATGTCGTGGAGGAGCCTCCACATCAGCAATAACGGGCATTTCACTGCCCCGTACTGCATAGTCTAAATCTTTCGTTGCAAAATGTCATAACGGTCACGAGAATTACCATAACACCAGGGGATGTTTCTCGTGCTATGGCGCCGTTAAGACATGTCCACATAGACCATAACGACGTTTTCTAGTCTCATATGCTCTAATATAACATGATAGTAATCATATTTAATAATCGTAGTATCCTTAAAGATATCAATTTAAATAGTCATATACACAAGATAATTGCAAAAACCGAGAACACATTATTAAAAGAGTTTTGTAATTACATTGTCTTTTGAATTCTTTCTTGTTTTTTAATAGATAATTGACAAATTTAAATAAAGTAAATATTTTTGTTTACCACGTACACATAAATAGACAGTATTAGGTTCATAGGTTGTGACCTAGTCTCTTTTAAAAGTTATTTGACATTGATAAGCTCATAAAACTTTTTTCACAAGTTTTCCAAATATACCCTAGTATGCCGATTTCTAAATATACCTTTATACGTGTCCTTTTGTATCATTTTACATTAGTTAGTTTTTACCAAATGCTATAATTTTATCATATAAAGCTAATTTTTCAACTAATACGTGAAACATTATTAAACCCTCTCAAACACAATTGAAGCAAACACCCTTTTATGATAGAACATTAATTAAGACGATATATTTATTTACAGTCACATACCACACATTTGCAAGTAAATGGAAAACAAAAGCATAATATACTTTATCCACATTCATCAATTCTCTATCAAAAAATAAATAAACAAATAAAAACCCTATCAAGAAAATCAAACATGAATCCGCTTAACAAAAAAGTTTCACTTAGAAGAAGAAATTGTTCTCGAGTCTGGTTCATGTTCAGCTTGAGAGGCTAAGTACTCAAGTGCAACCACAATATCACCAATCAAGGGCCTGAAATTGGCCTGCTCTTGTAGACACATTGCAGTCACTGCAACCACATGGTGCACCGATCGAACCGAAAACCGACCTTCTAGAAGCGGGTCCACCAACTGAATAAACTTTTTTCGGTCTTTCAAAAAAGGGCGAGACTGCATAAATTTGAAAAAAAAAAAAATTATAAATCAAGGACGACCTGTAAAAAAACCACACAATCCAAAAAGTGGTATCTGATAAACGGAGAATGTTATAAATTTTTTTTATATGAAAATGGGTTAATTTGCATAATAAAACGTAACCATTTTTTTTTTCAAATCACAATGTTGTAATAAAAAGCAAATATTATTTTCACTTACCCAAGCAACTAAATTCTGTTCGCTAGGTTTCTTGTTCATATCAATTGCTTTACGTCCAGTAATGAGCTCCAACAAAACCACACCAAAGCTATAAATATCAGACTTTATAGTCAACTTTCCACTCATCGCATAATCAGGAGCACAATAACCATATGTGCCCATAACTCGAGTTGACACGTGAGTGTTATCACCAACTGGGCCCAGTTTAGCAAGCCCAAAATCAGAAAGCTTTGAGTTAAAATCATTATCCAATAATATATTTGATGATTTTAAATCGCGATAAATTACAGGTGGATTTGCTTTGCAATGGAGGTACTCAAGCCCACGAGCTGCTCCAACTGCAATCTTCAGTCTCGTGTGCCAATCCAACGGCTCTTGATTAGGCTCTAGATCTGAAAATAAAAAATTATACATTTTATTTAAAATTTTTGTCTCATTTCAGTCATAATCCAATGAATACCAAACACAGTATCTTATGTCTTGTCATATGTAGGAAATGGGCCTTAAGGCCCATGTAATCTGTATGGTAATTAAAATTTAATTCTCATGCATTATAGACTTATAGTGCTCCTTATTTATTTTTTGTACTTTTCTTCTAACATTTATGTATAATGTGAAGTCAATTAATGCAACATTTTTACCTATGCAATGAATTGAAAGTTTCCAGAATCTTTATGAGCTTTTTCCGTGAAAGACAGATGAAGGGTTTGAATTTACTTTTTTAAAGCATTTATGAAGATAACAAACAAAATCTATATTGCATGTGCTTATAATCTTACAATGCAAGAAATAGCAACGTACTTTAATTGATTTGTTTATTGTTTATTATATCATTTTGCTTCCATTTCTTCCTATTATTATATCACTATACTTCTAAAATCTACCCGATTATTATTTATTACAATGTCATCCAAATAGAAAGAAAATTTCATTGCTATAAAGCCTATAATTTGGTAGATTTTCGAAATTATATTGTCTTGCATATAGCCCTAATTCAATTACCACTTGATTACTCTGTTATAGTCTATGATAATTAAAAGAAACCCTAGGGAGATTAAAAGTCAAAGAATATGGGTACCATTACTGCATTAGTAGGATTTCTTTCAACAAACACCAAAAGTAGAAAACCAGATGCATTTGGTGATTAAAAAAATTAAAATTTTACCAAAAAGATGATTTTCCAAGCTACCCAGTGGCATGTACTCATAAACCAAGAGTCTTTGATCTCCATCTGTGCAGTAACCAATCAAAGTTACAAGATTTGAATGGCGCAAAAGACTCAACATAAGAACTTCCACAATGAACTCCTGGTGTCCTTGAAGGCCATTGAGGTTTAGCTGCTTTACAGCAACTATCTGTTCATCATGTTTCAACCATTAATATCACAATCCGAGACTCAAAAAGCTTCATAATTCATCAGTTACAGAATGCATTTAATGATCTGAAGAAAACAAGAACAGAAACTTACTTTCCCTGAATCTAATCGACCCTTGTAAACACATCCGAATCCACCTTCTCCGATCAAATTAGAATCCTTGAAATTCTGTGTTGCAACACAAAGTTCACGAAATGTAAAACTGCGTGCCACATTATACCTCTGGCTACTAAACCTTTTCCCCTTCTCTGTAACATCTTTACATGTTTTTCCCTTGTCATCAACTGTAAATGCAAAAAAGAACATGAAGAAAGCAAACGAAAGCACAATGCATGTAGTTTAATCGGAAAATTCCGAATCAATACAACAAATCCAATGTATAAAAGCAATCAAACCTGCAACATCATTGGATGCGACATCGCCATCGTAATTTTCGACATCTTTGGAGCAAAAATTTATGCAAGAGAAGCACCTCATCTGGACTAATCGATACAGAGACTCTTGAAAAGAGATTCAGGAATACATATAACAACACCAAACGAACAGTGAAACTACACAGTGTCAAACAAAAACCCTAATTGAGCATACAAGAGCTAAAACCCAAGGTCAATTTCAGAGGAAACGGACAAGGGTTTCTCCTGAAATACGAAAATTCCAAAAATCTTTTTAGAACAAGACACCAAAGATATCAACGCGGCATTGCCAAAAAAACTCAACAAACCTTCGAATTTGTAATCACAAAACTTCAAATTTTAAGTATTAAACAAAAAGAGAGCAGAAGAAAACAAAAACTTGAATAAATTATTGGGGTAAAGTAGTTGGGATTGTTTGGAATTATGCAGCGAAATTGGAACACAGACATTGAATCCTGTGAATCGAGCTCAGATTATATAAATAGAATTTAATATCTACAAAGATGACGTGTCGTATCCGTCGAAATAACGTGTTGTAATAAATTCATGCTCGTATATTCATTCTATATTTAAAATAGAATAGAATGAGTTTGGAATATATACGATAAATAATACGGAGTAGAATAGAATGATTTTTAGAGAAAGTAAGTTTTAGTGCTTATTTTTAGAGAATTCACGATTAAAAAAAAAAATTCATTTAATTTGTTAACGTCATATAATATCAAGTTAACAAACAAAAAAATTTGAAGTTATCTTTACTATAACAAAAAATAAAATTTATAAATTTCATTTATGGATCATACAAACTTTATTTCTATGTACTTACTAAGATAAAGGAACAAAGTAAGTTGATGATTTCGATTTAAAATAGTCGGATTGTATTTCAATTTAAAATAGTCGGATTGTATTGGATGGACCACTTAATATGCTTGCATTATTTTTTTAGGTCAAAGGATAAATTATGGAGAATAATACCCTAGTTTGTTAATATTCATAATACATATGTTTAACCAAAAATAACAACTTATGATCTAAACTTGTAACTGTTACTATTATAATATAAATCTAAATATTATCTTATTATTGGTTAAAAATGTAGATAGATATTGTTATTTTGCATAAAAAATATAAATATATTGTTTACATGAATGACAATACATAAATATATTTTTAATATATAAAAGAAGTTTCAAACGAGAACATAATTGAAAACACAATGCACCGTTTAATCATATATGAATGATTTAATCACATTTGATTAATACATATAACAATAAATAAAAAATTCATAATTTTATAAAAAATTATATTGATATTAATTTTAATTAATAATGAATCAAAAAAAAAAAAAAAAACTTTTAATATATTAAATTTTTTTGATAAAAATAACATTCCAAAATGGATGGTCAATATATATTCCCGAGTACTCAATTTCATAATTGTTTTCGGTTGAACCTAGTTCTATATTGCATCGACATATTTTGAAAACTCATATTCTTAAGTACACGGAAACTTTTTTGTCGCTATATTTTTTGAAAAAAAAAAATTATAACACCTGTAATATGCATATATAAACATTTCATTAAAAAGAAATTCAAAAATGTTTATATATGAAATTTGTATATATGTATAGACCAATTTGCAAGAATGGTCCATGTGGTATGTCAAAACTGGTATGTTTGCGCCAAAAAAAGTTTGGACTAACACCGGAGGTCCAAAAGTTTTACTTTCTTGCGAATTTGGTCCAATTTGGTTTGAAATTTTTTATAAAAACGATTTTGCCCTTATTATTTAATTTTCCATTTTTGTTTTATTAACAGCAATTAAAAACATCTAAAAATAAAACAAAAATAAAATGCATCTCTCTCTCTCTCTCCTTCGAACATCTAAATCACCACCATCCACTACTTTCTTTCCGAAACCACCACCTACAGCTACCATCACCGCCTCCTGTCACCACCATCACCAAAAATCATTTTTGGTTGTTGTTTTAACTTCTTATAAAAGAAAAGTTGATCAACTATGAATCATCAAATATTAAGCATTCATAACCAAAATCATATTAGAAAGCACCAATCAATCTTTGAATGTTCACCGATTTTAAAGAACACAAAACATTCAAAATCAGATTACAAAAGCACCAATCTATCCAAGAACATTCGTCGATTTTAAAGTACACAAAAACATTCACAAATCAGTTTTCAAAACTATACACAAAAATCAGATGCATACTTCGTAAATCAGGAGCAAAATAATCATCGTCAAATCTGAAGCCTCATCAATAGCTGAAGAACACACACCTGTTTAAGCAAGCCTTAGCGCACACGATGCATCACCACCAAGAAACCCTAGCCGCCATGAACATCCTAGATTTGTGTCTTCAGATTTTCTAGGTCTGATGGGTTTTCCCTACACATTATACAAATATACTGAACAGGGCCAGTCCAAACGTATATGGGACCCGGGGCGAAAATAAAAAAATGGCCCCTTAAAGACAAAATTAATAAAGATTAAAAAAATAATAGTTTATTCTTCACTATAAATGAGTTCAATTAACAATAACAAGCAATCCAAATTTTTTATCTTTTGAGTTAGTTTGAGTTTGAACCTAACTTTAAGCCCTAAAAATCACTTAGGTAATAATTGTTTTATATATATACACTACGTAGCCCAGAGATTTTGGGCCCCCTGGAGACGTGGGCCCCGGGCGGTCGCCCGGGTTGCCCACCGTCTGGACCGGCCCTGATACTGAAGCAATTTGAATCCATGAATGTGTCTCAACCTGTCTGTGGTTCTCTTCTCAAATCTATCCTCTATTCGGTAAGCCAACAAACCCAGTTCCGCCAAGAAGGTGGAGAAGACGATGAACACTAGTTGTGCAGAGTTGGTCGAAACCAGATTTCTTCACCTTGCATTGGAAATGCCCCATGTTTTAACCCATTTCTTTACATTTAAACTCAATATCGAACACAAATTCCAATTTTGACCTAGATTTCTTCACCTTCATCTGGAAAATTAAACCCAATTTTCTCACCTTCATGTATAAAATCTTACCTCTCATCTCTGCCATACAGATCTCGTTGGAGAGAATCAAGCTCGGAAAAATCATTCATACAAAGATCTTAGAGTTTGATGATGTGGTTCTCGATAAAGATTTAAAAATAGAGTTTCTTTGCGTTTGATTTACATCGTTTGAACTAGGTTTGATTTGCTTTAACTGATTCGGTTTCATTCGCATCATTTCAGTTTGATTGGAAGTACTTTGGATTTGAGCATCTTATAATACGAAAATTTATGGTAACATATATGGGTTTTATCATAAAATTCATCTTCTCTGTGTGTGTGTGTGGAGAGAGAGAGAGAGAGAGAGAGAGAGAGAGAGAGAGAGAGAGAGAGAGAGAGAGAGAGAGAGAGAGAGAGAGAAAGAGGTATTTTATTTTAGTTTTATTTTTATTTATTTTTTAATTGTTGGTAATAAAATAAAAATGGAAAATTAAATAATAATGACAAAATCGTCCTTACATTAAAGTTCAAACCAAAGTGGACCAAACTCGCAAGAAAATGAAACTTTTAGACCACTAGTGCTAGTCCAAACCTTTTTGTCCCAAACATGCGAGTTTTGACATACCCCAGGGACCATTCTTACAACTTTGTCAAATATGCATTATATTTTATGCATATATGCACATTTCATATATACATTTTTTAGACAAAATTTCATATATGCATTATATTTTATGCACTTTGAGGACTTTTATGAAAAATGTCACGTTGTTGGTCCCTATGGTTTCAAAATTTTCATGAATGGTCCTTCTGGTATGAACTTTAACTTTTGAGTAGTTAGTTTTTTTCTAAATGAGCAAACTACCTTTGGACCAAATCTGAAAATTATATATACCTCCAGGATCAATTATGAAATTTTGAAATTTTTTATATATATTATATATAAATATAAATTTGAAATATATATATATATATATATATATATATATATATATATATATATATATATAGGGCTAGTATATAATGTGGACGTACAACTATTGTACGGACGTGTGGACACTGCTATTCTATGAGAATTAGTAAGAGAATAAGTTGTCAAGTAATGTGAATACGTTAAACCTCACACAACTATTGTCATTTTCACGCATTATCACTAATTCTTATTCATTTTTGTTCTCACGCATCGTTTTTCCACTTATTTTCATTCTTACAGAATACGACTCAATAAACATTCGGACAACATTCGGACAAAATGAGAATAATAATAAAAAGTCTATAATAACCTTATAGACGATTTAATTAGTGAGAGAATAATAATAATAATAATAATAATAATAATAGACTTATAGACGATTTAATTAATGACAATGCGTGATAATGATAATAATTATGTAAGATTGAACGTATTTACATTATCAAACAATATATTTTTCTTTGTCATTCTCACATAATAACATTGTCCATACGTCCGCACAATAGATGTCAATCCACATTTGAACATAGCTCTCTCTCTCTCTATCTCTCTCTCTCTCTCTCTCTCTCTCTCTCTATATATATATATATATATATATATATATATATATATATATATATATATATATATATATATATATATATATATACACACACACACATACATTATCTTTTTCATTTTTTTTATTTTTCAACAATATGAGAATTTTTTTTTTTACCTTTTGACCTTTTATCTTCTATTCTTTTTTATAATTTTAGTTATTTATGGATTTTTCTAATTTTTTTTGTTTATTCTAATTCAAGTAAATAAACTTAAATTCGATAAACCACGTCGAAATCATTTTTTTCTTTAGTTTTTCTTATTTGTTAATTGAACCGGTAATGTTTTTTTTTTAGTTTTATGTTGTTAAGGTTCATATATTTTTACTTGAATGATCTACCAACCAACCGAAGTTGTTATTTTTATTTATTTAAAATAATAATTAGGATAGATTTTATATTAAATTATGTGTTTTAAATTTTTCCATAGTAATATACTCTAATATATTCATATATTTTATATTTTTCATTTTTTTTTTGTATTTTTTATTTTTTTTATTTTTGTTTTCATCAATTTGATAACTTTTTTTTATCTATTCCAAAAAGAGTAATATGTATGAATATATTAGAGTGTATTATAATTTTTAGTGTTTGACTTTTTTTTTTGTTGGTTTTCTATTTTTTATAATTTTGGTAATTTTTGGTTTTTCTAATTCTTTTTTTATTTTGATTCAGGCAAATAAAAATGTTATATTTATATTTATAACTTTCGTCCAACTTTATTTCTTTATAATTTTTTGTTATTTAGTGGCTATTATATTTATGTTATGACCAATAAAAACTAAAAAATCAAACACTTTGTTTTTTGAGAATTAATGTTTCGATGTGTAATATTTTCGATTTATAATTATTAAAATAAGAAC